TATCAAAATCCAAGATGGCTGCCTGTCGGCCATGTTGTTTATCCGATCAGTCTCAAAAGTTGCCCTGCACAGCTAAGGACCAAGGGGAACCTACATATGAAATTTAAGAAAGATCCCTCTGGTACTTCATGAGAAATACCGATAACAAGAACTGTTTAAGGACGGACGAAGGACGATGGAAGGACGACGGACCACGGACGCATGGTGATTTGAATAGCCCACCATCTGATCGTGGGCTAAAAATCTTCATTGTACATTTGATCTTTTCTCTCTTTGGGAGAGGGCCTAGTAAGTTGTAATAACTTGTGCCCAATCCCTTTGACTATTATTCAGTGTCAATAAAATATGTTTTAATCTTTTCTCTTCTTTTATCGAAAGGATTGATAGGCTTGTCAGCTGTAAATGTATCTTGTGGAAGCTTATGATTAAAATTCCATACCATTTGACCTGTTAAGGCCCCCTGCACTGTCGTTTTTCCTATATACAGTTACCTCCCCTTAACTTCGGTTTGGATATGACTGTAGAAAAAGTTGGGCAGGAACACTAACATTAACCAGATAGCACAATTGGCTACAGTGATATACAATCTGAGGTCCAGGGTCCGAATCCCAGTCTGGCCCTGCTGAACCTAACTCAAAACACTTTTATTGATTACATTTCTTGATTTCATCTTCATTGTTTCTCATTTAAGTCCTGCAAGATATGGGGCCTGTTCGTTTATGCGGAACAACCAGTTTGACCGTTTATAAATGTAACAATTTCTGGTATAAATCCTGGGTACCTTCAAATGTTTATGCAGGCCTTGCAAGGCTTTGTCAAGGCTCGTCTGAAAGCAGCATCAGATTACTAGGTCCGACCTTATTTAATAAACAAACAACTGTAGTACGACCGGTTTGATCATTTAAACGAAAACAGACCTGGTTTTCTATTCAGAAATGATTTATCAAAGCTATAGTCATGTCAGAAAAAACACTTAGTTACAGTTTTTGGCCAAGATACAGAGACCCTCCACTACAAGGCCGAGATACAGGGACCCTCCACTACAAGGCCGAGAAACAGGGACCCTCAACTAAAGGCCGAGATACAGGGACCCTCCACTACAAGGCAGCAATACAGGGACCCTTCACTACAAGGCCGAGATACAGGGACCCTCAACTACCAGGCAGAGATACAGGGACCCTCCACTACAAGGCCAATATACAGGGACTCTCCACTACAAGGGCGAGATACAGGGACCTTCACTACAAGGCCGAGATACAGGGACCCTCAACTAAAAGGGCGAGATACAGGGAGCTTCACTACAAGGCCGAGATACAGGGACCCTTCACTACAAGGCCGAGATACAGGGCCCCTCCACTACCAGGCAGAGATACAGGGACCCTCCACTACAGGGCCGAGATACAGGGACCTTTCACTACAAGGCCAAGAAACAGGGACCATCCACTACAAGGGCGAGATACAGGGCCCTTCACTACAAGGCCGAGATACAGGGCCCCTCCACTTCAAGGGCGAGATACAGGGCCCCTCCACTACAAGGCCGTGATACAGGGACCCTCCACTCAAGGCCGCGATACAGGTAACGTCCACTACAAGGCCAAGATACAGGGATCCTCCACTACAAGACCGAGATACAGGGCCCCTCCACTACATGGCCGAGATACAGGGGCCTTTCACTACAAGGCCAAGAAACGGGGACCATCCACTACAAGGGCGAGATACAGGGACCCTCCACTACATGGCCGAGATACAGGAACCCTCCACTACAAGGCCGAGATACAGGAATCCTCCACTACAAGGCCGAGATATAGGGACCCTCCACTTCAAGGGCGAGATACAGGGCCCCTCCACTACAAGGGCGAGATACAGGCACCTTCACTACAAGGCCGAGATACAGGGACCTTCACTACAAGGCCGAGATACAGGGCCCCTCCACTACATGGCCGAGATACAGGGCCCTTTCACTACAAGGCCAAGAAACAGGGCCCATCCACTACAAGGGCGAGATACAGGGACCCTCCACTACAAGGCCGAGATACAGGGACCCTCCACTTCAAGGGCGAGATACAGGGACCCTCCACTACAAGGCCGTGATACAGGGACCCTCCACTCAAGGCCGCGATACAGGTAACGTCCACTACAAGGCCAAGATACAGGGATACTCCACTACAAGACCGAGATACAGGGATCCTCCACTACAAGGCCGAGATACAGAGACCCTCCACTACAAGGCAGAGATACAGGGACCCTCCACTACAAAGCCGAGTGAGATACAGGGACCCTCCACTACAAGGGCGAGATACAGGGCCCCTCCACTACAAGGCCAAGATCCAGGAACCCTCCACTACAAGGCCGAGATACAGGGCCCCTCCACTCCCAGGCAGAGATACAGGGACCCTCCACTACAAAGCCGAGTGAGATACAGGGACCCTCCACTACAAGGGCGAGATACAGGGCCCCTCCACTACAAGGCAGAGATACAGGGACCCTCCACTACAAAGCCGAGTGAGATACAGGGACCCTCCACTACAAGGGCGAGATACAGGTCCCCTCCACTACAAGGCCGAGATACAGGGCCCCTTCACTACAAGGACGAGATACAGGGACCCTCCACTACAAGGCCAAGATATAGGGACCCTCCACTACAAGGCCAAGATATAGGGACCCTCCACTACAAGGCCGAGATACTGGGACCCTCCACTACCAGGCAGAGATACAGGGACCCTCCACTACAAAGCCGAGTGAGATACAGGGACCCTCCACTACAAGGCGGAGATACAGGGACCCTCCACTACAAGGCAGAGATACAGGGACCCTCCACTACAAGGCGGAGATACAGGGACCCTCCACTCCAAGGCCGAGATACAGGCCCCCTCCACTCAAGGCGGCGATACAGGTAACGTCCACTACAAGGCCAAGATACAGGGATACTCCACTACAAGACCGAGATACAGGGACCCTCCACTACCAGGCAGAGATACAGGGACCCTCCACTACAAAGCCGAGTGAGATACAGGGACCCTCCACTACAAGGCGGAGATACAGGGACCCTCCACTCCAAGGCCGAGATACAGGGACCCGCCACTACAAGGCCGAGATACAGAGACCCTCCACTACAAGGCCGAGATACAGGGGCCCTCCACTCAAGGCCGCGATACAGGTAACGTCCACTACAAGGCCAAGATACAAGGATCCTCCACTACAAGGCCGAGATACAGAGACCCTCCACTACAAGGCCGAGATAAAGAGACCCTCCACTACAAGGCCGAGATAAAGGGACCCTCCACTACAAGGCCGAGATATAGGGACCCTTCACTACAAGGCCGAGATACAGGGACCCTTCGCTACAAGGCCGAGATACAGGGACCTTCACTACGTCCTTAATGAAGATAGATGTGAATAGGATGTAAAACACAAACCAAACCAAATCAAACCGCCACCAAAAACTGGCACGTCCTTAATGAAGATAAATGTTAATAGGATGTAAAACACAAACCCAACCAAATCAAACCACCACCAAAAACTGGCACGTCCTTAAGGAAGATAAATGTTAATAGGATGTAAAACACAAACCCAACCAAATCAAACCACCACCAAAAACTGGCACGTCCTTAAGGAAGATAAATGTTAATAGGATGTAAAACACAAACCAAATCAAATCAAACCACCACCAAAAACTGGCACGCTACAAGGGCGAGATACAGGGACCCTCCACTACAAGGGCGAGATACAGGTCCCCTCCACTACAAGGCCGCGATACAGGGACCCTCCACTACAAGGCCGTGACACAGGGACCCTCCACTACAAGGCCGAGATATAGGGACCCTTCACTACAAGGCCGAGATACAGGGACCTTCACTACGTCCTTAATGAAGATAGATGTTAATAGGATGTAAAACACAAACCAAATCAAATCAAACCACCACCAAAAACTGGCACGTCCTTAATGAAGATAACTGTTAATAGGATGTAAAACACAAACCAAACCAAATCAAACCCCCACCAAAAACTGGCACGTCCTTAATGAAGATAACTGTTAATAGGATGTAAAACACAAACCAAACCAAATCAAACCGCCACCAAAAACTGGCACGTCCTTAATGAAGATAAATGTTAATAGGATGTAAAACACAAACCCAACCAAATCAAACCACCACCAAAAACTGGCACGTCCTTAATGAAGATAACTGTTAATAGGATGTAAAACACAAACCAAACCAAATCAAACCACCACCAAAACCTGGCATGTCCTTGATGAAGAAAGATGTTAATAGGACGTAAAACACAAACAAACCAAGATACAGGGATCCTCCACTACAAGGCCGAGATACAGAGACCCTCCACTACAAGGCAGAGATACAGGGACCCTCCACTACAAAGCCGAGTGAGATACAGGGACCCTCCACTACAAGGGCGAGATACAGGGGCCCTCCACTACAAGGCCGAGATACAGGGCCCCTTCACTACAAGGCAGAGATACAGGGCCCCTCCACTACAAAGCCGAGTGAGATACAGGGACCCTCCACTACAAGGCCGAGATACAGGGACCCTTCACTACAAGGCCGAGATACAGGGACCTTCACTACGTCCTTAATGAAGATAGATGTTAATAGGATGTAAAACACAAACCAAACCAAATCAAACCACCACCAAAAACTGGCACGTCCTTAATGAAGATAAATGTTAATAGGATGTAAAACACAAACCAAACCAAATCAAACCACCACCAAAACCTGGCATGTCCTTGATGAAGAAAGATGTTAATAGGACGTAAAACACAAACAAACCAAACCACCACCAAAACCTGGCACGTCCTTAATGAAGAAAGATGTTAATAGGACGTAAAACACAAACAAACATAAATGACGTCTTTAAAAGCCAGCATCAAGTAAAGTTTGAAGGATGTTTGCCGATTGTTGTGACTTACTTTTTATCTAGTGTGAGTGCCAGACCATTGGGCACGAAGCAGCCTTCCTCGACAGTTTCGTAATAGTTCCCATCGAAGTAGGATATACTTCCAAGAGGTAACATCATATACATTTCTAATGATCCCCAAAAATGACTTCGAGAATTTAAAAAATTGGTGAAATAGAATGAGTTTTCGCCAGTCACAGCAACATCATTAATACTGAAACAAGAAAACAAGAAATTAAAAACATTATCTTCCCTTCTTAAAACACTACAGTGTTATGATAATTATAGGAACATTTATTTTTTAACACAAACGTCCTGCCTTACAATTTGCTACCTATATCTAGCTAGTTCCTTTGTCAAGCTAAGGCCAAAAGAGTGATAGTTCCTGTCGACAATGTGTCGCCAAGTTCACAGAGATATCGTTTTAATACTGTATAATTATTAACCCTTTCACTACTGTAGACCATAATGGACTCATCCATTTCAATGCATGGTAGAGTCTACTAAAGTTACATAGGGGTGGAAGGGTTAATATTGATTGTTCACGAGGGTTTTAATTTCACTAATTTCACAATTGCATTAAAATTCATGACATTTTGTATTTAGAGCTAAGATTAAAGACACTTTCTCCACAAATACAGCATATGCATCACACTCTAGGCGATAGGCTCGACTATCAAGTCAGTGTTATCATAAATCTGGATCAGAAATGGGCTGGAGAAGGCATTTTATAACTCAGTATTATTGAGTCCGATTCGTTTTTGGCTTAAAGAGAGAATATATTCCCCAAGGCTTATTTTGTATTCTTTACTATTAAAATACTGATGAACATCATTGTGAAAATCAAATGTTTTGTAGCAGTTAGTTAGAAGGTAAACTGTTGATTGAGTGAACTCGGTCAAGTGATAAAAAGGAACTAGAATCAGTTACCAATACACTACGACTTATTAACTAACCTTGATGCAAAGTTTTCTCTTCGCAAAATTGAAAATGTCCACATTTGCTCAATTTTTCTCATACAAAATGGCAATGTCTGATCCTATATAATACCACAAAAACTGGTTGAAATCAATTTGTGTAATTTTGTGTGTGTTGAAATCAATTATTACTGTAGATATGGTATACTCACAAGTGCATGGCCTGGTCTACGTAGGAATGGACATGTTTCAGAGATTTGGCTGAAGGAATGAATTCAAATTTTTCCACAGCATCCAGCTTTTTTCGATGATTCACCACAAAGATATACACTTTTCCTGGAGAAATGATCGAAATATGATAATGGCTTTGGCTGTAAGAATATATCTAAGTATCCTCATTCCCAAATTATTAAATAATACTATAAGTTCAAACAACATTATCTTACAAAGTTCTCTTTATAATGTATGTGTTTTGCATTATCTCTTATATTTGTAACGTATTATCCATGTTGTACATACTTGTATATATGTTCTCGGCCATTTGTGAGAAGAGTCTGTGACTCAACATGTTATTATCGAGTATAAATAAAGTCTATTATTATTATTATTATTATTACAAGGCAAACAAGGGCACCGCGAGCGGAAGCATGACACAGTGTATGCCCGCCAGACCCTCGGAAGGGTATTGATATATTGGAAGCAGGTAGTGACATACGATATAAAATATGTTTACCGACACCGTTTTGTTGGTGACTGTGACCTTACCAATCACTTACTGTGTGTATGGCACAAGCTATTTTGTGTTTCATAATTACACTTTCGTGGTCAATGTAGCTATTACTAAAACTAGAACCTTGGCTTAGAGGTCGGGGTTTTGAACAAATAATTAAAAAGTTCTTGCATTTTCAACGTAATGCCCTTATTTGGCAATGACAAAGGGGCATAACTCTACCGAATAGCATTTAAATATCACGATTTAAGAACTCATTCTCCAATGTAGTCAGGTAATGAGACATCCCACCAAGTTTGACAAAAAATTGAAGAACAATTGTTTGAGTTATCGTGTATTTAAGTTAATGGCAATAAAACAATGAACATCGTTGCTATGTCAAGTGTGATATATTTTGTTTTCAAAAGTTGATTGAGTATTTTAACAAATGGCCCCTTAAAGCCTGTAGCCTTGAATATACATTTGAAGGTCTAGATACATTTTTTTTTAAATTTTGTTTAGAACCACATTTCAGCAAGTTGCTGGTCATACATTATTACTCAAAGAGTTTGTGCTCTTCAGAAGAAGCCATTTGAGTGTTTAATAACAGATATGACTCCCTGTGAATTTGAATTGATCAGTCGAGTTCGTCTTTTCCCAAATTTTGTAACACTTCCGATTCCTTGCCAGCAAGCCACTGGCTTTATATCATAACTTCAGTCTCTTTATGTTTCAGAACATACATTTAGGATGTTGTAACACATTTGAACCCTGTGATCTTTTCAAAGTCTATTCTTTATTTTTTTATAGGATTTCGTAAACCATATGAATATTTTTCAAAATCAAGACATTAAGAAAAGAAAATTGATCTCAAACAAACCTGATGCCTTGTCTTGCCAGTAGTCAATGCCATGGGGGAAGAAATCTGAAGCGTTGAAGTCCCCTTGTATGGTTAATGGAGTGAGTCCTGAACCGGGGGCCTTGAAGTCAAAGAGAAAAATCTGACCTTTGACCCCTTTGTCAGCATACATTTGTCGATAGGTTGCTGTAGCAGCTGGTATCATAAGGCCCTGAAAAGAAGGTTTCACAAAAGACTATAACATGCTTCTAACAATGCAATAAACCAATATCATATAGGCTTATCTGTATATACCAATATCATATAGGCTTATCTGTATATACCAATATCATATAGGCTTATCTGTATATACCAATATCATCTAGGCTTATCTGTATTTATTTTTTTCAGATGATTTTTTTCATCAATTTCCATGACATGACTGCAGAATCAATCAAAACTGTATTTTGAAATGTAATCTACTTTTATTTAGCAATGGACTGATGTTTTATAGTTACAATGAAATTTAATTAGTTTGCATTTTCTGATTCCAATTATAATTTACCAATTCCATATTAGATATAGAAACAGCTCCTTTCTTAGCTCTGTTGTCGAAGGTATGCATGCAGTACATTGAATGTTTGATACATTGAAAGTCATCTATTTTGTTGATTTTCATTAAATGATTGATGTCAATGTTGAAAATAGACAAAGTTAAACTGTTTAATAGCTTTTGACAAACGTAACTGATCTCATTACATGTATGTCTTTAAAACACTTTTAATTCCAGATTACTTTACTTTTCACAAAGGCATTTTAACAAATATCTACATCTTTCCGAATGCTATCTTACAGAAGTGATAAAGGCCTTTCCGTCTGATAGTGTGGCGATGTCTTCAGATCCAAAATCTGAAACGTATAAATATAACAAAATTGAGAAAACACTCATAATAAAAAATTGTATAAAATGTAATTTATTAATATCAGCACCTGACCATAAGGATGCCTGTCCCACTGGAGTAAAACACTGGAGTAATGGAGTAAAACACTGGAGTAAAACACTTGAGTAAAACACCGCAGTAAAACACTTGAGTAAAACACCGGAGTAAAACACTTGAGTAGTGGAGCAAAACACTGGAGTAAAACACTGGAGTAACGGAGTAAAACACTGGAGTAAAACACTGGAGTAAAACACTTGAGTAAAACACTGAAGTAAAACACTGGAGTAAAACACTTGAGTAACGGAGTAAAACACTGGAGTAAAACATTGGAGTAAAACACTGGAGTAAAACACTTGGGTAATGGAGTAAAACACTGGAGTAATGGAGGAAAACACTGGAGTAAAACACTGGAGTAAAACATTTGAGTAATGGAGTAAAACACTGGAGTAAAAAACTGGAGTAAAACACTTGAGTAATGGAGTACAACACTGGAGTAATGGGGTAAAACACTGGAGTAAAACACTGGAGTAAAAAACTTGAGTAATGGAGAAAAACACTGGAGGAATGGAGTAAAACACTGGAGTAAAACACTTGAGTAATGGAGTACAACACTGGAGTAATGGGGTAAAACACTGGAGTAAAACACTGGAGTAAAAAACTTGAGTAATGGAGAAAAACACTGGAGGAATGGAGTAAAACACTGGAGTAAAACACTGGGGTAACGGAGTAAAATAATGGAGTAAAACACTGGATCAAAACACTTGAGTAATGGAGTAAAACACTTGAGTAATGGAGTAAAACCCTGGAGTAATGGAGTAAAACACTGGAGTAAAAAACTGGAGTAAAACACTTGAGTAATGGAGTATAACACTGGAGTAATGGGGTAAAACACTGGAGTAAAACACTGGAGTAAAATACTGGAGCAAAACACTGGAGCAAAACACTTGAGTAACGGAGTAAAACACTGGAGTAAAACATTGGAGTAAAACACTGGAGTAAAACACTTGGGTAATGGAGTAAAACACTGGAGTAATGGAGAAAAACACTGGAGAAAAACACTGGAGCAAAACACTTGAGTAATGGAGTAAAACACTGGGGGAATGGAGTAAAACACTGGAGTAAAACACTGGGGTAACGGAGTAAAATAATGGAGTAAAACACTGGAGCAAAACACTGGAGCAAAACACTTGAGTAATGGAGTAAAGCAGGGGAGTAAAACACTGGAGTAAAACACTGGAGCAAAACACTGGAGCAAAACACTGGAGGAAAACACTTGAGTAATGGAGTAAAACACTTGAGTAATGGAGTAAGACACTGGAGTAATGGAGTAAAACACTGGAGAAAAACACTGGAGGAACGGAGTAAAATAATGGAGTAAAACACTGGAGCAAAACACTTGAGTAATGGAGCAAAACACTGGAGTAATGGAGTAAAACACTGGAGAAAAACACTGGAGGAACGGAGTAAAATAATGGAGTAAAACACTGGAGCAAAACACTTGAGTAATGGAGCAAAACACTGGAGTAATGGAGTAAAACACTTGAGTAAAACACTGGAGTAACAGAGTAAAACACTGGAGTAAAACACTGGAGTAATGGAGTAAACCACTGGAGTAAAACACTGGAGTAAAACACGGGAGTAAAACACTTGAGTAATGGAGCAAAACACTGGAGTAATGGAGTAAAACACTGGAGAAAAACACTGGAGGAACGGAGTAAAATAATGGAGTAAAACACTGGAGTAAAACACTTGAGTAATGGAGTAAAACACTGGAGTAAAACACCTGAGTAATGGAGTAAAACACTGGAGTAAAACACCGGAGTAAAATACTAGAGTAAAACACTGGAGTAATAGAGTAAAACACTGGAGTAAAACACTGGAGTAAAACACTGGAGTAATGGAGTAAAACACTGAGTAAAACACTGGAGTAAAACACTGGAGTAAAACACTGAAGTAATGAAGTCAAACACCGGAGTAAAACACCGGAGTAAAACACTGGAGTAAAACACTGGAGGTTCCACTGTGGTATTCCATATACAGTAACTTTCCTCTATATTTCGTTTTGAATATGCAGTAACTGTAGCGCAGTTTAGGGACAGTTCTTACACTGACGAGGTATCTCAGTTCGTTAAGAGTGTCAGTACAATAACCTGAGGTCCAGGGGTTTCAATCCAGACCTGGGATCAAGAAACAATCTTAGACTTAAGTTTTTGCTTAGCAAATCACGTGTGATGTCACTTTCATGACTTTATTTGTGATTGGTTAAGTCAAAACTAAAGACAATTTTAGACTTTAAGATTGTTTCATGATCTTTGGGCCATGTCTGTCCACACCGATGTTTTAGGGGGGGTAACTACAGCAACAGCTACTCCAGTGAAAAACAAAAGAAATTCCATAAGTTACAGAACATTTATGAAACAACAGGTCAAGTGTAATGACACAGTAAGTTTTGTACATCCCCAGGGTCTATATGACTTTTTGGTTCCACATCCATACGTATTGTCCTTAATATAATTCATCATAATCCATATCAAAATGATAAAGGCTTAAAACTAATAGTATTGACTGCTGTATATATGCAGTATCATCGAGTGCAAAAACTGTAGAACCTCATAGTAAAGGAACATTGAACAAAGTCATGTTAGAAGTCTCGAGAAATTAAACCAAACAAGTCAATTATATCATGAGCTTGTTCCGTTTAATTTGAAAATTGATGTAATGCATGGCACTGTATATGTGATAGTGCACGTGGTATTGTATACACCGAGAAACTGTCGTCCAGTCAAGTATTCGCCTGTCATATCGTCCATGTTGGCCAAGCGTTTATTTAGCCATTCACATTAAGTTATATATACAGCATGATGTGTACTAGTGTTCACTGTCATGATGAATTTGTCCTCGTTGCGGAGGGCGAAAATGTCTTTAATGGCGAAAATTAAAGTAGCACGGTAGTCTAGTGGTAGGAGGCCGGGCTCACGACCGAAGGGTTACTGGTTCAAGTCACAGCACTATGTTGTATATCTTTGAGCAAGATACTTTACTCCGCTTGTTCCAGTCTACTCAGCTGTAAATGAGTATGTGGTTGGGCAGTGCTCGAATTGTTGAATGTTAGCTGTGATCGCCAAAATGGCAGCACCGGCTGTATGCTCCCCAGGGAGTTGAGAAAGATATTGGCTGGTTGTGAAGGCCCTATAACCATAAATATAATAATTTGTGAACTGCTTCGAGACGACCTACGAACTTGGTTGTGATGAAGCGGTATTTATTACATTTTTGCCAGTGAAATAACAGATTCTATCAACTTGATAAAACTGATATCTTTCACACTTTGACAAATATCAAAAGTGATATTTTCACAGTGTGAAAATATCACTTTTTGGTATTGACCAATCATAACGGTATTTTCTATTCGCTGCATTCAAAGGCAACGCTTTTTTGTTCAGATTCAAATGAAGCCACGGTAGAATAAGTGGTTGTCATGGTAAATGTTTGGTGCACACACTTAAGTATTTACATAAATATACAATTAATAACATTTTTATAAGCAATCATACCAGAAAATAGCACTCGTGTGGCTAATATTTTGATATTTTTCACTCGTGCTGCGCACTCATGAAAAATATCAAAATATTAGCCACACTCGTGAAATATATTTGGTATTACTGAAGACACCATTAAATATCCTCTATATATTAAAGAACCTCAGATTATTATTATTATTATTACAAGCTAACCGGTAATAAGTTTATATATATATTTTCAATGCCGCCCTGACTATTCTCCATAATTATGCTTATTGAAGATTTAAAAGAAACTGTGGTTAGGTATACATGTAGCAAACACTAGTGAAAGCAAGTGTTTTTTTTTTTATAAAAGCACTGGATAAAGTCTTGAGTGTAATCAGCCCAACAGAACTCAAAATATAAGTAGTGCATTTTATAAACTGATTCTCTATTCATGTAGTAACAGTGATAGAGACCTAACCCTGAAGCCTGGAAAGTTATCCCAAGCAGGCACTTTCTTTGAGGAAGCACTAGCTGTATAAAGTCAAAAAAGTGTAATCAGCCCAAGAGAAATCAAGATATTGTGCATTAGTGCATCAAACAGATTTTCTATTTATAGTGACCCATTGACCTTTGACCACTGGACCTGAAAAGTTATCCCAAGCAGGCACTTTCTTCCATAAAGGACTCAATAAAATCTGAGTGTAATCAGTCCAACAGAATTTGAAATACAGTGCACAAACTGATGTTCTATTTATAGTAAGTGACCTTGACCTTTGATATCAAAGGCTGAAAAGCTATCAAAAAGCTTAAACAAACATTTTATTACACTGGATAAAGTCAATGTATGCACACACACAAGGTTCTACACTTAAAGTTGATAAGTTGACTTTAATATTCATATGTTTTTTCTGTATGTTATTACCATCTCCATAACATATTGGATGAAGTTGCTGAGTGTTTAAATTGAATCAGTTGATGATTTTCTATATATAGCAACAGTGACCTTGGCCTTGACCTTGGAACACTGAAACACAACAATGTCTGAAGTATACTCATACTTGACCTTTGCATAAAGTTAAGTATTTCAGGGATCCAAGGTCAAGGTCACACTTGCTACATATAGAAAATCATGAACTGATTCAATTTAAACACTTAGCAACTTCATTCTTTCACGGATTTTGGTCAAACTTTATACATAGGTCAAATAACTTTGGCTACTTCAACTTCTGACAGGTCAATGACCCTTGATGAGACTTATTTAGCTGTCAAAAGTCAGACCAAAAAATACTGCAGTACAATTTTATGTCAACTTATGTATTAGTGGATTTGGACACCATTGTAAATTTATATGAATGTTGAACAGAAATATTTTAACATTTAAGGGTGACACATTTAATTTTTTTTTACAATCCTTTTAATTACAGATTTAGGGAATGAAGGGTTTAAATGTTGTTTATAGATGTTTAGTGGATCGAAGAGATACATGTATAACCTTTTTTTTAAACACAGTATTCAGTTATCAGCATTTTGTGAGGAAACTCCATGTATTGTAGCAGAAAAATTTCAACAAATAATATGAAGAATAGTGCAGTTGATATAGAAAGTTCAAATCCTGCTATAGATATGTAGTAAAGCTGTCAAAGAATCAGATATTTGGCAGACCTTTCTTATTCATATGACTTTAAAGTGGTTGCAAGGATTTATAAAACCCAAAAAACAAACTGATTCCTATCCCTTATACAGCGAACAGTGTTGAAATATAGATGCACTGAAGGTATTGAAAATAACGTCAGGTAATTCGGGTAAAATGGACTTCCATCATGATTTTACATATTTATAATGTGTTTATACAGCCTTCCTTAAGAAAAACACATTCCATACATGTTTTCAGCCTGTTTTTGTTGTCATTACTGTCCAGCCTGTAACATCTCATCTTTGCTAGCCAAGCGTTCATTTTGTATTCACATATTCATGTATTCAACCTTAGCGGATTTAGCCTTGTTCTCTAAGCTTTCAAATTATTGAACCTGGCACAGGGATTTGGCCCGAACTACCATCCTATGGTCCACATATTTTTTTTATATCATACAATATATCATACACATATGTGAACTGAGGGTTAGAAATTAATATACCAAGTTCCTGTGCATGTAAATAATAATGGCGGCGCCCAGTACTAAGTTGCCTTGTCGACTATGTCATGATTTATGTAAAAAAACATACCGAGACAATTACAATACTGTGGTATAACTGTTTATATATTGTGTACATAGTTTAAGCATCTGCAAGACCAGTTGTTCTAACTTACAAAAGTCCAGGTGACGAGAAAGAACATGAGAGGAATGTTTCTGACTTTTGNCAACCGAGACAATTACAATACTGTGGTATAACTGAATATATTTTGTGTACATAGCTTAAGCGTCTGCGAGACCAGCTGTTCTAACTTACAAACGTCCAGGTGACGAGAAAGAACATGAGAGGAATGTTTCTGACTTTTGACAGGAGCTGCAGGCAATTCACACTTTTCAATTTGTACTATTCTTCTTTTTGGATAATGACGCTTTAACATGTAAGCGAATAATACATCACTGGCGTCACGAGCAGCATCACTACTAAAAACGTCTTTTAATATTAACGGCTACCAAACCCGTGCTCCTGGTTACAAATAAATGCTATATCCCAATCACCTGCCCTCTGGACTGGTTTTTAAGTAAGTTATTTTAGTGCCAAATTTTGTACAGCATGAATATTTAGCCTCTTTATCTTAATCCTTCCAACGTAGGTATCTTGTGATAAAATTTGTTGTTTGCCTTACACTGTTACAATGTTTTACCATTTATATATATATATATATATGTTTGTCGAAATACAAGCTCCTCTGAGCTTATGTTAACTATATATGACATATATTCAACGTAAAATAATGATTCTTGTATCTTGTATTTTGAAGTAACATGCCACTATGCTTTTATCCGATAATTTTAAGATAAAAAACACACACACACAAGCTTTTCCTCGAATGCGCCTATGTATAATCTTCGGCAAGATGAAGGACACAAGTTAAGGTATATTGTTGATGCCGACATGTACAAATGTATGTAAACTGTAAAACGAAAGGAGGTCTGCACGATCGCAAACATTTAATGCTGATATTTTCGTATAAATGTATGTTAGTACTTGATGTGATAGCAATGGATTAAACGAGTGTTACCTTGTGTTGTATTCTAGCACATCAGTGTCTCAATACATACGGTATTAATCTATTAATGTTCGATAAACGTCTGTTTATTATTTCTGTCCTGATTATGATGTGAGGTATTTCCGGGTCACGTTCTCGTATCAAGTGCGCTTCCCGTTACGTCATAAAATGCAAAATCTTTTTGATATTTATTAATTAAAGATAGTTTAAAGATTAAAAGAGTTAATAAAAACAATATCAATACATTGTAAATATTATTTTCTTGAATGTTTGCGAAGCAGACGACGTTTGATCATAATCTCGAAACTAGAACATTTTTTCAAAACAAAAATGTGTTTTAACATTTGAAAGAAAAAGTTTGAAGGGGAAAAAATCAATTTGTTCTTTTATGAATTAATGAAAGTGATACAAAAAAAGAAATATAGTAAATAATTGATAGTAAATTTATCAAAAGCATCATCCTTAGAGAGTATGTTCTGGGCATGATCGTTTAGAAGCTTTGCAATACTTCCAACTCTTTCAAACGCGCATCAGCTCGAGACCTGTTTACAAAATGGCGACTGGAAGTAGCAAGGCAGATTAAATTGGAACTTCAATTGTGAATATTTCGGCAAGTAAACATTGTTCACAAAGCCCATGTGGTCTGTTCATCTAATTTAGTCAAGATGTACTCAGACCAGTCGTTGTTTAGTCGCAAGGGTCATTCACAAAAAAAATAGTATTATTATATAAACTTATTGTAATTATTGTAATTACAGTGTTCTTGAACCAACATATACTTACCAACTCCGTCCAGGTATTTACACGGACCAGGTTCATGATTGTATATATGTTTGTGGAATCCGAGGATGTATCTGCAGCACAAACGTATTCCATTCAGAACATGTAAAATATAATATATATATGCAACTGTCAAGGGGATATTTTTTTGGAGATTATAGTTGTAATTTGAACTCAGAATGACCTCGAGTCAGATGTAGGGAATAGTTTTCCATACAAAATTATAAATACAAATATATTAGAATAACAGAAAATTACATTTTTGGTCAACTTTGTGATAAAGGATCTGATCTCTTCTTTCACTATGTTCTGTACCTGCGCATTGTATCATATTTGTGGCTTGGTATAAATGGTGGGGACCATCGGTTTGTACATCAGTCTGTCCGTCACTTTGTGCAGGGCATATCTTGTGACCCAAACGCAAAGACACCCGAAAAGAGAATTTGACTTTAATATATCTTTTTTTTTCTAACAATTATTGTAAACATACTGAAATCAAAGTAAGGGTTTGAGATTTTAAGAGATGTACATCAATTTCAAGTTGTATATTAGATATGGATACAGCACAGGTACTAGCCTCATCTGTCAATTATACACCCATAGATTATAGGTGTATTGATAGAGGCCTCTTTGTGTGTGTCAATCAATTAACTTAATTTAACAAGTTGTAAATTAGATATGGATACAGCACAGGTACTAGCCTCATCTGTCAATTATACACCCATAGATTATAGGTGTATTGATAGAGGCCTCTTTGTGTGTGTCAATCAATGAACTTAACAAGTTGTATATTAGATATGGATACAGCACAGGTACTACCCTCATCTGTCAATTATACACCCATAGATTATAGGTGTATTGATAGAGGCCTCTTTGTGTGTGTCAATCAATTAACTTAACTTAACAAGCGTGCATGCAGGGATTAATACAACACTTACATGAACCTGGCCATATGTTGTACTATGACCAACAGCAAACTAGAAAGCACTATTTTGAAGTAAATTCCCATTTCTCTCTTCTCTTTCTTCGTCACTCCGACAGCTGAATACAAAAGACATCCGTACAAGGTTTATGTTATTGCACCCCCCTATCATTTCTGAGCATACATGCAGGAATAAACATTGATCACATAATGTACTGTGTTATCTAGTGAATTATACCCATGCCATGTTTTTTGCATATATATATTGACTCATGTAATGTGACCTATCACCCCTGTGATTGGTTGTTAGTTCAATTGTGACATCACGCCTAGGACAAGTACATGAAGTCACAGACTTTCGCACTGGAGTCAAAATGGCGGCTTTTTACATTTCAAGGTTGCATGAAAGTTGTCGTTTTACACGAATGAATGCCACAAATCTTGATTATGTGATAAAAAAGTATCTTACACTCGTTATCATTTCATATGAAATAGATGAAACTCATCGCAAATTTTTCACTTTAGCTCACCAGAGGCTCGCTAAATTGAATACTTTGGGGCTCGTTTCATAAATCTCCATATGAAATGGAAACTCATATACATGTAAGATCCTATATAAAATAAACGGTCATGCTCGAGCAAACACTAAATCACATCCCTCTGGCTTGTAAAGGTATGTCAGGAATCTATAGATTTACAAAAGCACCTGTGAGCCAACAGGATTGTAGGGTGTTCGCCAGAACATGAGGTTGTCCTCATGAATATATGCCAGTAAGTGGCTTAATGACTGCGAAAAACTTTGAAAGATCAAAATGGAAACCGAGATCCTTTCCGCAGACTGAGAATACAATTTACATGCATTTAGAAGGTTTCTAAAAGAAAAAATTATCCATCTTTCCAGAAGTATTAATAATTGTTTGTACATTAGTCGTCGGCAACCAGGCAGCTCCATTGGTAGAGCGTCTGTCTAGAGATATAGATATCTGTCAAAATGTCTAAGTCTGGTGTTAAGGCCAGACACAACTCAGGCTAATGTATAGCTATAACAAATTCCCAGGCCCGTGTATATTGAGAAACAGGTGTTTTTTTCTCTACTGATAATTTGGGTATGTGAATTAGCCCTCTAAAGGGTTTGGGGTATTTATCGAAATGGACCGGAATGGAGTTGAATTACTGAAACAGAGGGAAATGGGCTTTAAATTGGCATTATTTCAAGAGAATGGACCCTAATATGCATTCTTCGTCACCAACTGGAGTCATATGTAGAAGATTGTGCGTTTATTTTGTTTACATCTATACTAGCGGAAAAAAGAAACTGTGCATGCGGAGAATTGTTATAGAACATGTATTACCAACTGTATATACATGAAAATTCACACACATCACCGAGTATGACACATACACACTATCCGTGTGACATTGACCGTTTTTCCTGTGCAGTTTGCTCTCTTAATAGGCGTTGACCAGTTTGAACGTTTTTCTCGTCCAGCCATCCAATTCGACAATAAAAGTTTATTTTTCAACTGTTGGGTCACTCTGTTGAGACCAGTGAACAGTAAAAACAGCATTATAACATTTTAATTTGTGATTAATGCTATGCCGAGGCTCAATGAAAATGGCCGCCTCCGGATTATTGGTATGCTTCAAGCTGGTATGGGCCAAGCCGTTAATTGTCTCTACACGTTTTCATGTCCATCGAAACACAATCAGGGATTTGTGGAGACGAAATCAACAGTTTGGCCACGTCGGCGATCAACCTCGTGCGGGACATCCACGTGTGACGTCACGTTTCTACCAATAAGCCCGAGAACTGTACGGAACCGATTGCGTGAACGAGCTATCCGTCCGCGACGTCCTTCAATCCGCCCAGTTCTTCTGCCACATCATCGTTTAGCACATCTGGACAGGTGCAGAAGGCATCTGCGATTTACTCGACGGGATTGGGCAGGTATTTTGTTTACGGACGAATCGGAAGTCCACCTGGATAGTAGTGACGGCCGTTCCAGAGTGTATCGTTGCGTTGGAGAACGTTTCCGTGACGCGTGTGTGGTACAACGCCGTTCTTTCGGCGGATAACATTATTATTTGGGGCGGTATCACAGCCAACGGGAGAACGCCTCTGGTGGTTGTTAACAGGAATTTGAACGTGCTACGTTACCGTGATGAGATCCTCCGGACCCACGTCGTTCCATTCGTGCAAGGGCAGCAATGTCACATTATGCTACAGCAGGACAACGCCAGGCCACACACAGCTCATGTGGCTATGGACTTTCTGGCCCAGCAGAACGTTGACGTGTTGCCCTGGCCTGCTGTATACCCCGATCTGTCACCCATTGAACACTTCTGGGATGAAATGAAGCGCAGATTACGGGAATTACCTAATCAACCGGTGACGTTGGCTGATTTGGCTGCAGCGTTGGTACAGATCTGGAATGCCATCCCACAAACATTCTTGAACCATCTGATAGGCTCCATGCGTCGACGTTGCCAGGCTTGCATTCAGGCAAACGGTGGACATACGAGGTATTAACTTTGTGAACTCATGTATTGACCCCTGCTGTGTTTACGTCACTCCTGAGTGGAACTTATTGATTCTCCATAACGTGGAAAATGGAATGCAACTGTTAATAAATAACAAATAAATTGTCCCTGAAAACCTTGTTGTTCTACGTCATACACATTTATTTTTATAACACATTTTAGGCATGCAGTTTCTTTTTTCCGCTAGTATATTTTAAATTAATTTTTCAAAATAACGCAATTGACGGCACAATTTTCGTTACTGAAATGGAGGGCAATGGGCCTTTAATTGGCTTATTTCGAGAGAATGGACCCTAATAAGCATTCTTTATAACCCAATAGAGCTAGATGTAACAGATATATAGTTAAAATTATGTTCAAATGTACATTGTAACCGGTCACCCTAATGAGTGACCTCGGAGGTTTTTGCGCTTTTAGATTTTTTTCACTTTTTTCTTCTGGTTCTTAAGTATTGTTCACTTATCTAGGTGTGCAAAATTTAAGTTCGATCGTTACAGTAAAAAGTACCGAAATATGTCGATAAAGATGCCTATTTGGGAAGAATGAGTGTCCTGGGAGGTTTTTGCGCGCCCGGGAGTTCGTAATATAATACTATAAATAGCTGAATAATTACACACATATATGTCATATTAACACCATCATGGAGAAGATTGATATAGGCCTAGGTATTTGTAATCTTATCCATTTATATATATGCTAATGAGTCTCCTGATGAACGGGGAATCAACCCGAGAAAGGCCTAGAGACGCTATCTCTGTCTTTTGTTCTATTTTTTATATTAAATTCCAACACAAGGACTTCTTAATGTTTTCTTTATGTTAATATATATATAATAAAATTTGTGAAAATGAAATGCGATTATACACTTTTGTTGAATAAAAAACATAGATCACAATCTCATTGTACAGTAAAAAGACGCTTATAGCAAGACTTTGATATAGCTTGTATATTCATAACTTACGACTGTTTCCGAGGCACTGCATTATATGCGCGAGCAATCTGTATAAGACAGTTTATCGTTTTACGCTCTAAGTAAGTATTTGATAATAGTATAGGCAAATTACAGTTTTCAATTACTGTATAAGGCAGTTTATCGTTTTACGCTCTAAGTAAGTATTTGATAATAGTATAGTCAAATCACAGTTTTTCAGTTATTGTATAAGGCAGTTTATCAATTGTGTTACGCTCTTAATAAGTATTTGAAAATATTATAGTCAAATTACAGTTTTCAATTATTGTATAAGGCAGTTTATCAATCTTGTTACGCTCTTGGTAAGTATTTGATTACAGTTTCGATTGTACAGAAAATAACCTATTGTTGTATTTCAGGGTTTTAGTGCTTGTATGAGTATAAGAATCAGAATTTACTTCTTATCAATAGTTGCTTCGTTGTAAACAGATTATTGAAATATATCATTCTTTATGTGATCATAATAGTCGCTGCGTTTTTAGTGCTTAACTATACATTTTGTGTGTGTGTATATATATATATTAATATTTAACTCATTTATATATTTGATACAAGGTTACTTTGTTAGCTAGTAATATATTTGATATAAGTTTTTCTTTGTTAGCTAGTAATATATTTGATATAAGGTTTCTTTGTTAGCTAGTAATATATTTAACTCCGTCGTGTATCGGTCGATATAAGTGGGTTTTTTTGTTAGCTAGTAATATATTTGATATAAGGTTTCTTTTTTAGCTAGTGATATATTTTATATAAGGTTTCTTTGTTAGCTAGTAATATATTTAACTCCTTCGTTTAATCGGTCGATGTAAGTTTCTTTGTTAGCTAGTAATATATTTGATATAAGGTTTCTTTGTTAGCTAGTGATATATTTAACTCCGTCGTGTATCGGTCAATATAAGTGGGTTTTTTTGTTAGCTAGTAATATATTTGATATAAGGTTTCTTTGTAACTCCGTCGTTTATCGGTCGATATAAGTTTCTTTGTTAGCTAGTAATATATTTAACTCCGTCGTTTATCGGTCGATATATGGTTTTTTTGTTAGCTAGTAATATATTTGATATAAGGTTTCTTTGTAACTCTGTCGTTTATCGGTCGATATAAGTTTCTTTGTTAACTAGTAATATATTTGATATAAGGTTTCTTTGTTAGCTAGTAATATATTTAACTCCGTCGT